GCATAAGAACGATTTGGAAAAAAAAAATAATATGATATTTTATGACGTACCACATTAATAATAAATATGTAGTTATGCGTGCTGTAAGCGCGTGACCAAGCTAACCGCAACAGTGGCACTACGTTATCAGGTGTACGCCTCTATTTCTACTTTTTAGTGATCCAGACATGCAAGAATATTATTATATATAATGAGGGCTCGCGGGCAACGGTCGTAAAATTTTTAGAAAATTTATTCCTAGTATTATAGTATTGGTATTTGCTACTAATTATAATAATATTATAAAGTATTACAACGGACCACGTCATATAATATTTTTGTAAAAATGTAATACAGCAATACAAATACATTACATAATAAGTCTCCCGTCTCCGGTCTCCGGTCTTCCTACTCTGATAACCCTAAACTCTAAAGGCCAAATAAAAATAATTAATTCTCGCCAGCGCACGTGTTTGTTATCTATTTTTTTTTTTTTCTGTATGTGTCGAATTTAKATTTTTAAAAAGCACGCATGCGTTAATGTCATACTTATAATGATTATGGTTAATGATTATATACGCAGTATATACACACCTGATAATATACAATTATTACAGTACCTACTAGAGATTAATATTTTTATTTTTCCACTCTTAGTCGATTATAGATAACAGACAACAGTGTAATTTATATAAATCATAAACATATTTTTTTAAATTCACGTTGATGATTAAGAATTACAATTATCATTAATTGTTATTTATTATTGTTTAATTGTGTGTTGGTCCTACTATTAGTAGTTAGTTAATCCGCAATCGTCATATTCTAGATCTGAACAACCAAATTATTTGGTTTTATTGTTTAAATTTTTACTATTTATCATTTCAATTTTCATSAAATAGATACAGATGGTTTATTTTTAGTGAATTTGAGTGACTTACCATACAACATAACAGCTGGGCCAAATGCCCTAATCGATAAGTTTCCATCAATTGGCCAATGTTACATTATTAAGAAAATAACCATTCGTAGGTAATTAGTAATTACTAATTACAAATGGTATATATTTTTTCTCGAATTCTGTTAATCGTGAATAATAAATAATAATATATGACCATGGCTAAAATACACTTTATCAACCCCCTCACGATATTCAATTTTTTTTATGCTTAAAACGATGGTGTAAATTTTTTTTACCGGAAGCTATTATTTTAGAAGTTATATAGCCTTCCAAAGTTTGCTATTTTACGTTTATACGCATGGACTCAACACTACTTTATTGCCACGCGCAACGCATACCTATGATTTTTTTTTTATAAATAATATGATGTTTTTGAAGCCGGCCAGAATAGTAACCCGTTTAGTAAGCTTAGGTAGGTTTATTCATTTAATATTTTAGCCACGGGGGTGGTTGATAGATGAGCGTAAAAAACAAATCGTTTCAAAAATTAAAAGACGTGAGGGGTTGGTAAAGTGCATTTGTGCCATGATTATATAATATTATGTATCATAAGAATTTCGCTGCTCATTTGAGCACGTGTTCAAGATTTACATTCGTTCAATGGTATATATAATAGAGCACGAAGCACATACGTCGCGATTGCAGACTACTAAAATATAATACATAATAAAATAATGCATAAGATAACATAAATGATATTATTATATTTACCTATATCTAAGTATCTGACTATCTGTTATTAATAAATAATAATATATTCATRAAATACATCATATAGTAAGTTGGTATACAATATTTTTTTTATACYTACTTAATTTTTATTTGTATTTCCGAAGGATAATAAAAGATTATTTCATCAGGTAACACTTGCATAGTCCAGCAGTAAAATATAGTGTTGTACATATAGATATATATATTAAATAATAGGTACCTAATAGTTAATATGTACTTTCAAACGCAAACCACATACAATATATAACTAGGTATTACATATTGTATTACCTATTAGTAAGTAGTAGGTAACGTGTCTGAAAATGTTTTCGATATATTTCCAGTTAGCTATTCATCGGTCGTCGTCACGTTTTTTGCCATCAATCAAAAGATTTTACTGTGCAATTGACAGGTAGTCCTCGACGGTGGTAACCTGTGTTGTAAATAGCTTAAACTTAATGTTATACACTTGTACCTAAACTTTCCTACGACCAATATTTTAAGTCGAAACACGGTGAATACTCCAGCTACGGACAGGCGGAGTGTAGGCAATGTGTATACACTTACGTGTTACATGCGTACATGCATATTACGACACGCGGCGTATTTAAATAATTTAGGCGCGAGCTCGACATTGATGAACGGGTGTGGTGACTGTGCTTGGTTGGCTGGAAAAGGGGTTAAATCTCGTCGATCTATTGATCGCGTTACTTGCGTTGGCAATATTGTTTGAAAAGGGTCACGATTTATATCGATCAGGTACAAAATCTTCAATCGAATTACGAGACCGCCATAATGACATTTATATTCTATCCAACATTAATATGTTTAAAAGAAATCCAATTAGGTTTTATCCACGTGATGGACACCGGGGATCCTGAAAAACGATTAAGAGATAAAATTGCCAAATATTTATTTTTGTTAGACTTATACACTTAGGATAAAAATGTTGTTTACAAATATGCTAGTCTAAAGTCTTATAATGTCATCATTGTTTTTTGAAACAATTTGTGTCCATTCGTTCCAGTATTCCAGAGGTTAATACATACCTGTATGGGGATTAAAATACGGAAAACTTTTTGTCTTTATTCGGCTTGTGATTTTCACAGTCAACATTATAGCAGGTATTTACAATTTTAATAATAATGTATGCGCAGTTATTGTAAACAGCATATTTTATATTATTCGGAAAATGAATCTCAAACGTTTGAATTACGTTTGGCAAAAAGGGTACTTGAATCAAAATTAATCATTATTTTTTTTTCGTAACCAGATATTGTTTTGAAATGTTCATATTTTTAAGAGTAACTTTGAAAACTGTCTCTTCAGCAGTCCTGTCTCTTTTTAAATGTACTCGCATATTTATGGTCAAAGAAATTTTTTCTACTAGAGGCCACAAATATGAAGACTTGATGCAGGCAGCAATTTCATTAGCACGAGTTCCTCTTGGCTCTTGATACGACTGGTAGAGTTTGTCGAAAAATTCCAGCCAGCAGTACCGTGACTCCTCCCATCAATAAATTCGAATTTTTCCTTTAGACAGTTGTTTAAAGCTTCAAATCCTTTCTTAGGAGACATTGGACTTTCATCCCAAACTATATATGATCTGTCATAGTGTCGAACGTCCGTCAGTACATCTTGGGATTGTTCATGCATATATATATCGTGGATCTCCTATAAAAGATGATGGCAACACAACTAATGTTTCAAGTTGATCTGCTTCAGCATCTTGTCTTCCAACGGCATATTTTAAATGAATATATTTATCTGTTCTAAGCTTTTTTTGATAATTTCTGATAAAATTAAATTTTTCAGTCTCTATTTTTATGTACATATCTCCTAAATATTGGTTTAACAATGGTCCATAACGAAGCAAATGATTATCTAGTTGTTTTCTAACCATAATTCTGTATGAATAAAAGTCAAAAGCTGATATACAGTTTTATCCTTGAGGGGAAATTTTTTATTTGCTTCCTTTTGAGTATTACGAGTATATATTATCTTTACATATTATATAGATTTATGAAATTGAACACCTAAACTCTAAAGCATGAACCCCACAGTTTAAAAACTACGATTTTTGTGATACTACTGCATTTAGGGAGTTTAAGACAAGCTCACTATATTCAAAAATGATAGTTATGTCATATAAAATATAACTTTACACTTAAATGATTTCCAACGTAAAATATATTTGAAAATATGACTATATTTACTTTGTGGTAGTATATTAAATTTTGTATTGATTAAACTAATTGAAGTCAAAATTCTAGTCTGCCTTATTTTTGTTTAGACATTTTACGTTAAATGCATAAAAACTACTTTTGTGTTGAATGCAAAACAGTAATATTACAGAATTATAACGGTATTAGCTATAGTTAGTTAGTTATTAGTATTAGTTTGTGTTCACATTGCAGCCATAATATTGCATTAAATGTTTTCTAGTTTCAATAAAGCATTCTAAAATATAAACAATAATATATGTGTTTTTCTAACTGATTACATAAATATAGTCGCTTATAAAAAAATAATTAAAAAAACAGCACAAGTATGAATTTAGGGTTTATAGTGAGAGGGTACCGATTTAATAAAATTTTAGGTCATATTATAAAACATGGTTGTACATATGTTTATACTGTATTTATTATTATAGACTATAGTCAAGGTGTATAATGTATCTATAACCTTGATTATAGTATTAATTCAAAGTTACATTGAATAACAAGTTACATATAAGTTTAATAAGTTACATTGAAATTTATAGATAGATCCATAGATGTCAGGTTTTCGGATCCTATATAGTTATTATTTTTTTTATAAAAAAATTTATATTATAAAATATTATAAAATATTGTTTTTGAACATAAAATATTAATTTTTGCATGGGAGCTGGAGAGTCGCGACTCGCGACTTAAGATCCAAAGAGCCACATGTGGCTCGAGAGCCGCAGGTTGCCGAACCCTGCCATAGATAATGAAAATATGGATAGGACAAAACGGTCTTATCAGTAGGAATTAAGGCCAAATAAGTATAGTGTATACCTATATTGAGTATCAACTATCAATATAAAAGCATTGATAAAAGGGCCCCAATTGCCTCTCCTCCGGGAACGCGGCCCCAAATATATTTTATATAGGGTTCGGGGATGAACATTAATGCTGGCGTAGCCTATCTATATCTTTATTATCTATGGTAATACCATAGACCTTATACTGAGTATAAGGTCTATGGGTAATACTAATTACTTATCATCAGTTATCAGTATAATATCACTGAATATTACTCTATGATAAAATTATCAAATATTTATTATTTACTGATTTATTCCATTAATAATAATTTATTAATATTTAGGAATTTAGGATTTTATTAATTGTAATTTATATCATTTAATTAATATTTTATTGTTATACTAAATCATGATTCGTGGTGCTATGTGCTATGTACTATAGTGCTAACTACTGTCAACCAGTAGTATAAAACAGTATAGGTAGGTTATAGTTTATATTTAATATTTATTGTGAAATTATCATATCAATAAACATCACACATCACACCACCCCGGTAAATATTATTAAAATATTAAACGACTAACGGTCTATTAATGTTAGTTATTATTGCTATCTCCTAGTTCTTTCCTTCTAATTTGTCGATATTTTCAATTTTCACGAAAACTTTACTTGAACACTCGTTACTATTCACTATAATTGTAAATATTAAAACTTGAACTAAACTTTGAAGTGCATTGCAATTTAAAGAAGTTCATAAATCATAACTGTGATTTTTATGCCTTACCACATTAATTATTACATTTATGAATACGAATAATAGAAGTATTTCTTAAGTCATTAAAATATCTATATTGATAATATTATGTTTAAAAATGTTAAATAAAAAAATTTTCAGGCAAGCCAAGTATCAATGACATTGCCGAAAAAAGTTATGTGGCGTATTCAATGCTCAAAAATTACTTCTACCATGAGCAAAAGATCTATKTCCAAAGCGATGATGCAGCTCTTACACTATCAATCTTTAAAAGTTTCAAACACAAATAAATTGAGAAACATCAAGGTTTGTATAAAATCTGTATGAGATTTAATATTAAATAATTTAAACAAATCATTTTTAGAAGATTGCTCAAAAAAGTTACAAGTCTACCCCCACGAGCAATGAAAGCATGACCGCAGAGATTTGTTTACCATGTCAATCAGTAAATGTTTCAAATACAAAGTATTCTAGTGACACACGAGTCTGTATTAAATCATAACGAGTATTATATCCATGCATCTAATGTAATTTCTAACAATTTAAAATAAATAATCTATAGATTGCAAGCCAAGTAGAAATCATACCGATGCCAGTGAAAGTGATAGATTGTGGGACCACTACTATTAGTAAAAAATATATTATGGATGATAAGGTTGTCTGCAGCGAAGCTTTTGGAACTACCACTGTACCTATTGATGAAAAATATGAAACTTTAGTTCACAATATTAGAGCCAAAGTTGGTCCGTATGTTTGCCAAATTTGTCATAAATATTTTAAACATATTAATAGCTTGGACGAGCACAATAAAAGACACAAGCCAAATGGAAACGAAATACCAGTGGATGTAAATCGGCCACACGTGTGTGACATTTGCGGGCTGTCATTTAAGAAGATATACACCCTAACTGTGCACTATAGGATGCATACTGGACATAAACCATTTACATGCAATGTCTGCAACGAAAAGTTTACATGTTCGTCAAACCGGTCAGTACACATGAGAACACACACAGGATATCGGCCATATGTTTGCAATAGTTGTGGATATGCGTTTAATCAATCGCACGTGCTGACCGAACACATGAGGCTACACACTGGTGAAAGGCCATACAAATGTGGTATGTGCAAGTCAGCATTTGTTTCCAGTGGATTACTTAGAAAACACATCATACGAAAACATAACAAACACGCCTAACTTTCATAAATTATATAACTACTCATTACATTGGTAAAACCGATACAAATAAAGAAACCTGACCTAAAATAAAAATGTTTTTTGTAATCATCCTAAGGCCAGATCCTGTTGTTTATAAATTGCAGGCAATAACAAATTTTGAATTGTCTAAGATGATATATTATAATTATGGCCTAGGTTTCAGGACATATTGTAATAATAAACTTTCAAACATTTTTATTCTACAATCTAATTTGTCCCATGAATGATATAAGCAATTTTTACTTTTTATTGTTTATATTATTGATAGAATATTAGATAATACAAGTTGTAAACATAGATATAATACATGTCTATGGCTGTAAGAACAGTTATTATGGATGTGTACAAGTTAAAATTATATTTATTGGTTTATTATATTATTGGATAAAACCATGGTGAAACCATTCATGTATATGTACAAAATGTACATTGAAATTAAATTTATGTTTTAATATTATTAATTTTATGTATTTGTTTAATCAATAATCTTTATTAATACTTAATTATTACCTCAGTCTTTGGAACTTGAAATTGGCAAGGTATTTGCTTCTCTTGTTGGGTTGGAAAATTCCATTTCAATATATGAAAATAAAACAATGTCAAACTTCACCAAGTTTAGTTCTAGAACCATTGAAGGTGCTACAAAAAAAGGGATTAAAACAGCACATAAATCCAACTTTGGAATATGCTGCTTTAGATTATAGATGTGTAAGAAGTGGAGAGTACTTAACTCAGTCAACAGGTCTTCGGCTACAACAAAGTTATAAATAAATTGTTGTTTATAATTTATGTAATTAAATGTTTAAATCATCTTGGTATTGATATTTATTCCAGTTCTTTCTGTTCAAATTGCCCTGTGATAATGACTATAAGACCCAATGATTGTGGAGAAAAATTACTCATAACTAGTTTTATTAGTGAACATAGAACCACCTTTACAAGAACCATTAATATATGTAGCAAGGTAAACAGTTAACTAATTTATAACAGAAATTGTAAATAAATATAAGTATAATAAAACAAATATTTAGTTTAGGCAATGTATGATCACTATCCTACACAAAGACGATTAGATACTGATTGTAAAATTATGGTATCAAAATTAGTCAAAATGAAAGTAAATAAAAAGATTTTACAAAATGATTAGATGAAGACTCACAACAAAATTAACTTTAAAAGACATTCATAATTTTATCATATCAAAGTCTCCAGCATCAGATGCATTAAAAGTTTTGGCAACTAATTACGAAGGAACTAACACCACCTTAAATATTTAATAAAATGAAAAAATGAGCTCAAAGSCATTTTTTTTCAGTACAAAGAAATGCAAAGAATATTTTCTTTGTGTCCCGAGGTATTGTTTGTTGTTTGTTGATGCAATATATAAAGTCAATAAAGAATGCCTCTCTACGTTTTTTAGGTATTTATCTTAACATTTAACAATTTATAACCAACTGTTATATTATATTCAATATACTTTTTTTGTTTCCTTCAACATGACTATAGTGATTGAAAGTAACTGTCTCAGTGAATTTGTTGGATTTTGTCTCCTCACTAGTGAATACAAGGAAAATGTATCAGACATGCCAACAACATTTAAAAAACGTAATTCTGACTGGACAAATATCAATTGTATAATGGCGGACAAGGATTTACAGAAAGAAATGTATTTAAGCAACAGTTTCCGGAATCACAAATATTAATTTATATTTTTCATTGTTTGAGGTCAATGTCATGTGAAATCACATGTGAAAAAATGAAAATTAACACAGTTAAGAAGTATTTTATGATCTAAATGCATTAACTTATGTAGAAAAATGACTGATGTGCTTGGAAATGATACAAAGCATTGTGTACTCTAAAAATGCAGAATATTATAATTCATGAGGAACTTGAAGGTACAGACACATTGACAGTGCCCAACATTATGGTGCAAAACTGTATTGATATTGTTACTGTGAGCACAAAAAAAAACATATTTATAACCAGCACAAAAAATTTGTTACATGCATATAAAATGATTGGCTTCTTTTGCTTCTGAGGTTTCTGGAACTGAGTTTCAAGAAAAATCAAGAAGTTGAACTTACAAACATAGGTAGGGTCAGTGGCGTACACTGTGGGGGGGTCAGGGGTGTCGACTGACACCCCTCAGAGAATTGTTGGGTGACTGGGTGAGTGTGACTGGTTCTGGGTGAATTCGGATGTTATTTTGATAAATATTTGTTTAATTTAATATAAATTGTTTAAAGAGTATAAACTCAGATTTTACTTGTGGGTTGGGTGGGACCGCGAGATATATATTTTTGACACCCTTGTGAAAAATCTACTGTGCCGCACAGTCTGTGCGCCACTGGGTAGGGTTGTTAAAATGTTCCTTTTTTAATATATAACATATATATTTTACTCTTTAGATGGATTTTTAAATGACAGTCAAATGTCAAAAACAGTTGAAGTCTTGATGTGGATGCAAATATAATTGAAACCAGAACTTCCAGAACTCAAGAGTTGGTACTGACTACTGAATGAGCCTTAAAGATCTGTAGGAACTAAATGATCCTCAGGACTCCGTCTTCAATTAGTTACCATTTTTATATATAATTAAATATAGTAGACGAAAAAAAAAAAATTTTGAGCGTMGGTCGGGAATCTAGGAAAAATGTTTTAAAATAAAACCTACTGATTTTACGCATTGTGTATACTGTAAATTGTGTTAGTTGTTTCCATTGACCATCAGAGATTAAAATAACTTAAAAAACAATATTTTGATAATTTATCAATATATTACCAATCAATAAATTATGATTTAAAAATCAGAAGTTTTAGTATAACCAGTATTGTAAAAACTGTTCAGAAAATTTGGGGTTGCTAATTTTGATATTGGGAGTGCTAGCCCTAGCCCTAGCCCCCCCCCCCCATAATTGCGCACATGAGTAAGTGTTGAGACAGTGTTTCGTCCCAGTAAGTTCATGAATATACTTAGATGAATAATAATATGTTGATTTGTTTTGGTAAGTCCCATGTTTATGTACAATAAATTAAAATAATATTATTCTGTGCTAGATGCTAGATCTATCAGAAATACTATCAGTATTAAAATTACGTTCAATAGGACGTGAAAATATAAAGATATCTTTATTATCTATGAAAAATACATAATTTCACGTCGGTCGTGAAAATAGCCACTGCATTAATATTTTTGTGCATATGATTGCTGGGTCAAATACTAGGAAAATACTACTAACTTTTGCTATGAATAATAACCACATATTCAATTTAGGTTTTAGGACAATCATATCAATAAAAAAAAAATTCCAAATTTTAATTTGATATTTGCAGCGTTGATTAAATATACAATATTATATTATATTATATAGTATATTTAATCAATGTTTGCAGTATTGCTTAAAGGTTGGAGTGAGTCACAGAACAGAATTGATGTGCGATTGACATTTACAATACACAGTAAAATTACCAATTTTGATCACAGTTAAAAATTAACAAAGAAATCAAATTGATGACCAAAAAATATTATTCTGTTACTGGTAAATTTAATTTGCATAATAAATCATAAATTATGATATAATATATATATATAATTTATTTGTTACAGTAATAAAGTGTATAAGTTATAACACTATAACCTATTGTGTCATTTTTTTAATACATACCTAATGACTTATATAATTTAATGATATTTATTTCTAAATGTATTTACTATTTTTTTTGTCTGTCCCGGTTTTGTTTGATGAAATTATGGCAACCCTAATCATAATATAAGTAAAAACTTACTACACAATAAAATTATTATTATCAATTAAATTAATATTGCACATTTAAAATTTAAAAAGGCGGTAAATGCCTTTCACCATGATGATGATTAACGTATTTATTTGTGTGGTATATGGTAACTAGATTGATAAGAAAATTAAGATGATACAGTCTATAATGATACGTTTTGATAATGATGATTTTGACTTTYAAGACTTAAAAACTTGAGTATTGAGTTTTCGAAAATTCTGGAAATTCTCTTTAGAGTTTAGTTGAACATTACTAAATTTCTTAATAATTATTTATCGTTTTAAAATTTCAAAGTTTAATTTATATTTACTCTATGTGAAGTTGCTTGTATCTTTAATTTATTTGTTATGTATGATTCTACTTAGTTTGAGTATAGAAATACAATTTAAGCAACATTTTATTCAGCTAAGTTAATATGGTGAACGCCATAAATCATCATGTGCCTGTTGGCCCTAGTAATACTGAAAGTGTAATGCCTCCTCATTATCTACATGAGCTTCCTAATGAAGATGAACTTCGTTTGGCTAAATTATTTGAAACGCTCGACATGGACAAGAATGGTAAAATCGACATTCACGATTTGTCCATTGCATTGCATGATAAAGAGTATGCTCAAGTAAGTTAAAAAAAAWYCYTTTTTTTTAAATGGAATTTAATTTGGGTGACCATATTATAAAAGAAAACAACAGTTTTTGCTTCAATCTAAAATAAAAGAACTCCTAAAATTATTTAATAATTTTTATGTTTTAAACATAACAGCACATGTGCCTCTTAGACGAGGTATATTTTTGTAAAGTGTGGTGATTTAAATAATCATAATTTTACTGTGAGACTTGCCTCTTTTCTATCTCAAACAATTGTTCTTTACCAAAAGAAGGTTTGTTAAATGAAAATATTATTAAGATAACAAGATTAAAATGAGATCAATAGTATCCAATTTAAAAGTTGGTGGACAGGAACATGCTGCTCACAATAAAGAACAATTCTGTTTTAAATTAAATGTATGGTCACCCTAATTTAATATTTTTATTGTTATAAGTAGCTTATTTAATTTGGCATTTTATTTTATTTTTTAGAAGTTTTTGGAAATGTCTGATGCTACTAAAAGTGGTTCAATTACATTAGCTGAATTTATACATTATGTTAAAGAACATGAAAAATCATTAAGGCTAAGTTTTTCAAACATTGACAAAAACAAAGATGGTAAGATGTAATCTAATAAACGCTAACTCTTTAAACATAATGGCAATTAGATTTATAACTATAATATTTAAGTAACTATGTATTGAGAGATTAATAATACTATAATATATTATATTATATAGGTACTAATACTTGTGTTGATTATATTTTGTAGTATGTATATTTAATAGATAAAAAAATACATATTATAATTAATTTTGAGTAAAGTTGTAGGTTGAATTTAATAATTTAATCAGACATTTATAAAATAACAGGTATCTGAATATGCTTTCTAATTTTGAATAATATGTAAATCAGAATTTTTATTACTATGTTTACTATAATTGGTTATAATCAATATGTTATGCTCTGTTGTTAATGTATTTAAAATTGTGTGAATAGGTTWACTTTCATTTTTTCATTATAATTTTTTTGGAATAATTATGTTAGCGATAGTTATCTAGAAAAAATATCCTACGCAAGCTAGCTATTATATATATAATTACATTAAAATTATGTTTTGTGGTAACTTATTAATATCATATTTGAGCATACTTGTGAATATAAACAGTTGATTAATTAGTGTTGATTATAAATAAAATTTGAATTTTTAAAGGTGTATGAATATGCCTGATACCCAAATAAAAAATATTTTTATGAGTTATAAAACTTGGTAATTATATTATATTTTGACATGCTGTTTCATATATAATTTTTATTGAAAGTGTATTTTTTAATTCATAATACATTGTTTTAACTAATTTAGTTATTACTTTATTTAATATACCAAAAATAACTGGTAAGGGTTTCAAATAAAAATATAATGAACACAATAACTTATAGAGATATTAACATTTGTTTGTTTTGTTTTAATGTTACTTATAATTTATAACTAGTTTAAAATGATTATTTTTGTATTTTAAATTTTATGTCACAAAATAAGAATATAGTTTATAATTTATTGTTTTTTTTTTATTAAATATTTATTTTTTCAATCTTAATTTCAAAATTTTTATACAGGATTCCTAAGTTGTTGTACTTACAGCAGTTAAAACAATATAAAAATATACAGGGTTATTCTTTTATCAAACAACATTCATTATTTAAAAAAGTATTGACTTTTTTCAAAATATTTTTTACATAGTTTCAAATTGTTAAAAAAAACCATGTTTTTACTAAAAAATTATATTTTTAAATATTTTTTATCCCAATCATTTTTTTAAGTTTTTACTTTTTTGAATGACAACATAGAGTTTTAATTTCATATTCCAAAGCAGAATATTTTTCTAAGTATTTTGAATCATAAAAATCGAATTTAGGACGAATAGCTTATGRGTTATAAGTATTTTAAGTTTAGGTAAGCGGAGTAGTGAACAAACATTTTGCGGGGTAACCTCGTACCACTCCACTCTGCCAATCTAAACTTTAAATATCTATAATTCATAAACTACTAGCGTTAAATTCGATTTTTATGTATCAAAATACTCAGAAAAATATTCCGCTTTGGAATATGAAATTAAAACTCTATGTTGTAATTCAAAAAAGTAAAAACCTTAAAAAATATTTAAAAATATAATGTTGTTATAAAAATGTTTGTTTTTTAACAACTTGAAACCACATAAAAAAATATTTTGAAAAAAGTAAATACTTTTTTAAATAATGAGTGTTGTTTGATAAAAGAAACACGTGTATATATTTTTGTAGTTTTTTCAAAGGCATTAGATGTTCAAATTTTTACAAAATTGGATATTAATAGAAAACAATGATTATAGTTTGCATTTCACAAGTCAAAAATATTAATTACTAGGACTTAGAAAATGTGCCATTACTCTAAACTGGACACTCTATTCCCAGTTTTTGTAACAATGATTTATTACTTATTTAAAATTTAGCGATGACTAGATCCATTTGAAAACTATAATTACAGCAGAGCAATTTCTCAGATTTTCTTTATATTTTGAAATTGATCTAAATAAAGAGTATTTAAAATAGTAAAATAAATTCAATGAGCCCTTAATTGTTTTGGTCACATTAAGTTTCTTCAATAGCTACTTAAAATAGTCAATTCATGTAATTTTCTATGGTATTTATGTATAATTGTATAGAAAACAAACAGTGTAATTCATAAATATAACTTTTAAAACTATTTCTTGTTTAAATTTTTATAAAAAGTTACTTAGGTGTATTTTATTTTTATTTCTTATCATTAAAACAATATATAAAACTTGGTTTTACATTTTATTTTATTTTAAGTAACAGTTACATTCGAGAAAATAAATGAAAAAAAGAAATTTATACTATTAAAATAATAATTTTTTTGCTCCACTTGAAAGCTAATATTGTCTAATAATATTTAATTGATAAATTTTGAAGTTTTATAAAAAAAAGCAATTTAAAAACATAATGTCTAAAATGTTTTATGTTATGTTAATTCTAAGCTATTTACCTCTATATTCACTTATACATTTATAACATTTGATAAATTTCAAGGGATTACTCTAAATAAATATCACTTATTGTTTTTTAAAGTGTAACTGTTTTGTCATTTATAATTATGTTTGAAGCAAGYATTAAACGAAAAATTAAGTAAATTAATTTGGAGAGAGCTAACATTTTGAAATAGTATTTTTACCATTATTAAGTTACAATACAGCAAACGTATATTCTTATATATATATATATAAGATTATAAGGACAAATAAGTAAATTTATTGACCTGTCATAAAATGTAAAGGTAATATTATCTAGATCATCTCAAAAGCATTTGTTATTTAATTTTTATTATAAATAGTGAACATTTTAAAATTGTAATATCTTGAATATTTACCCAAGATATTACTAATTTTAAAATTATTATTATTAAATCCTCAAGTGATGCCTTTCATAATATACTAATATTAATAATATTCTTTACATTTAAATATAATAATTTATAAACCAACTACTTAAAAAATAGATTTGTCTGTATATACATTTGCTATGTTGCTGCTCAGGCATACTCAAGCATCCTGCAATAAAAGATATTATTTTATTTGTTTTGTATAGGTTTTTATCAATATCTGTGTTGTAAAGTACTAAATCAGCGGTTCCCAAACTGCACTAGAAGCACTGCTAGCATAATTTAAAGGCACTGCGGTCTATGTCTCATAATAAATGACAAAATTTGTTTTTTGTCATGTTTTTTATGATATTTACAGCAGGGCACTGTGGCTATATTTGGTGAAAAAAAAAAGTGGCATTGCAGAAAAAAGTTTGGGAACCGCTGTACTAAATATTATACAAGTCAATGGTGGTTTTTCATACATGTTTATTATTTATTTTAAAAATAATTTCAGATGGTTGTTGCTTACATACATAAATACTTAACCAGTCAATAGAAAATGAGGAAATTGTATTTACAATTTTAGTGCTCTTTCAATATATAATGTTAATATTTGTAAAAGAAGTATGCATTATTTGTTTTTAGATGTATTCAAAAGACAGGAAAGGTTTAGCCGCTCCTCCCCAAATTTCTATAGTAATTAAATATAGTAGCGGAAGATAAAATAAGTGATAATATAATAATTAACAAGCAGGAACTGATAGAGTCAAAATTAAAAATATTTTATTTTTTATATTCAAACTCTTATATGTGTCAAGTCTTATMCATATTCCCAGAGCCTGATTAAAAGTAATTGGGACAAACTACAAGGACCTACTTAGAGAAATTAATGTAGTTGTAAATTTAATTTATAAATCCAAATTATAGTGTAGGTATCCATAAATGTTAAGTTCTGTCAAATTTTCCTAACTGAAATAATACAAAGAATTATTTAGTATAGTTTGATGAATTCGTTAACATATTGAACATATTGTGTAATAAACGGTTAGCACAGTTTTTTATTTCATACATTAACTTGGAACTATTAACAATGATTTGCCTTTTACGAGTACAGCCAACAATGATTGTATATTGATAAAATAATCGATTTTACCTGCTGATCTATTATTGGACATAGATTTTGTTCATCAATACAACTGAAAACAGAAAATATTAATGTACTTAAAAGAGGAAAAATATATTTTCAAAAATGATGTATCATATATTTGTTTTAGCATAAAATATTTGAAGTATGAGGCCTCTACATTTTTGGAGCAAATACACTCATTGCACTTGCATAAATCTTGGTCTACTATTTGTCTGATTTGATTATATTTTTGTCTATAGTGAAAACTGTTAATAATAATCATTTATTCAAAATAATGATATTTAAATAATAAAAATTGTTATATACGAATGTTCAAAATATTATGTAGTTCAGATATTAATAATGTATTAATGGAACAAAATATTTATTTTGCAAGTGTTGAAATTGAAATGAAAAAGATGAGTTAAAAAGTCCATTAACAGTCACATATATTACATACCTACTTCTATGAACTACGAATATAGAATCAAATATTAGTTTCKTAGGAACCTGTTGACTTATAGACTTGACAAAAATAGTGTTTATGTTTTTCTCATTTTGCTTCTTAATTATGTTTACCTCAAATATTTAGTGTAGTGGCGTCTTTTAAACTTGTTTTATAAAGAAGTCTAACAAATCAAATTAGTAATTACAATGCTGAATACTAATTGCTAAAATGGAAATTATAATACTATCCAGAGATTTCTTATAAATTACGAACAGATTAAATATTTGTTATTTAGTTTTAACCATTTTTTATTGCGTTGGTTAATACATATATTTTTTGGAATGACAAAAATTTTAAAAATAGAATTATACTGAATTATAATATTATTGTTGTTATAAAAGTCCGACGTCCGCATACAAATTTCTGTACATTTTCACCTACTACCTATATATATTATTATATTCGCCCCCTGCGTAGTTCCGTTCTTGAAAAAATAAGAATTCACAACTTTACCATACATCGCATTTAAAAACAGAAAATACAAAGTATAGGCGGGTATTAAAATAACTAATATTTGTATACGAGTATTGTATGTTCCTTCCCACAACAAATACACTGCACAATGCACACTACACACATCTCTCACTTCAACCAATCTTGTATACACGTTCACGTTGTCACATGTCTACATTGTTTCTAACTCAAAATCTACTAATATCAATTATGATTAGTGCGTGACAAAAATTTAATTTCCTAGTATAGTAATTAATCAGTATGAAATTTTTCAAAATTATAATAACAGTCGTGTTTTTTCACTATAAACCAAACTCTTGTCAGTGTTTAAAATCTGACGAGAGTAAATTCATACACTGTGCTCCCCGTAATTGATGACGCCACTGACCTAGTGTTATACCTATTCTAGTTTAGTTTTTATACTTCCTGGTTGAATTTAAAAAAATAAATAAAAAATATCGTAGATATAATATGTAACAAAGTGTATAATGTTTATAACATTTATATAATATGAGAAAACAAATACATTTGATTGTGCAATGCACATATTACCTTAAACTATATTATAAATCGCCTATTTTTAAACAGTGAGTTGAATAAATGATAAAAATTACTTATTTAATAGCTTATCGAAATTGAATTAACTTAGTACTCCTATGGGTTTGAATAGTTAAACACAATTTAGATGTTTTATTATACATTAATTTAATACTTTATACTATTAAAACCTGAACTTTAAATTGATCTGTATTGGCTTAAAGATTGTGTTGAAAGTTTTATATAATACATTAAACTTAAACTAGTTATTTTGTATTTAAAAATTAAAAACAGCTTTATCATAATTCATCAGTGTTCAGAAATTAATAAAAACTGATATAAGTTTATCATCGAATTTTCTATTTATTTTCAATTCGTAAATTTTATTACCGATTTGTTGCAAAAATGTTGGTAATTTTCTGAATACATTACAATAAAAATATTATGTAGGATGACTAGGACCTAGTATTTTTTTATTTGTCAGTTATTGGGATTATTATAATTATTTTAAATAATAATATAAAAATATTATGTAATGGATAATAATATCGTCGTATTTCGTTGAATATATTTTACCGTAACTAAGCCTTATTGCGTCTAAATAAGTTTACAGTTATGATATTATGATCTATAGATTTATATAATATGGACATATTATCAATTATAAATTTTTAGTTGACATTGTAGTCTAGTTGAAAATTTCAAAGAAGTTTTTATAAATATAAGTTTTTTTAAACTATTCTTTTTAAAGACATTTAGATTCAATAAATCGGAAAAGTTTGTGATAAGGTTAATATTTCAATTGATTGAGTATAATTTTGTAATATATATTATTTATGTCCGTATTATGTAATTCAACTTTAAATTATGATTTATGTAATACTGAATTGGCAATTTAAATTTAAGGTGAACAAAAAATATCATTTACAAAATTATCTTTCAATATTTAAGTTATTACGAAATTATTTTATGGTAAAAACTATGATATTTTATTGTTTAACTACTATTATTACAAATATGAATAACATATATAAACCATTTAAAGTTTAGTCTTTGTTTACCTATATTATTGAATTTAGAATTTTAGTTGTATGATAACTAATACGCTTACGCATTTAGTACTGCGCATTGCGGATATTTATATGTATCAAAGCAAAAGGAAATCTGCACTACTTATTAAAATAATTTAGTGTTTCTGAAATGTTACATTTATATTAACTTTTCCCATTTAGTCACTTTAAAATTACGATTTTTTTTTTTTTTAAGTATTAAAATTATAATTTCTTTTTCAATTTCATTTATATATAATTCCTATAATTTCCTTAGGGAAAATTGATCGATACGAGCTTATAAGAGCTTTTCAAGAATTAGGAATTGAAATTGACGACGCCGAAGCTATAAAACTTCTTAAAAGGTAATTAATTCGAGATTGATATTTTAAAATAAATTAGGCTAGCTTATGTTTTTTTTATAATATATATATATATTCTTTAGGATGGATAAAGATGGAAGCTTAGAAATTAGCTTTGAAGAATGGAGAGATTTTTTACTTTACTGCCCCTTTACAGACTTACATGACTTAATCAAATATTGGAGGCATTCAACTGTAAGTATGGATTCTTTATAAATTTATTTTAAGTGATTGAAGTTTATTATTAATCAAAATCATTAATTTTACGCGTAATCATTATTTGGAAAGTAATAAAAACATAAAATTGAGAAACACTTAATAGTTTTAACTTTAAACGTCGCCAATGTTATGTACCTAGTTCGATAATTATACGCTTGTATCACGTGTGTGACTGCCCCCGCCAATTGACATTCAGCAGCGTTCTGATTTAGACCTGTGCAAAGAATTATTTTAGTAGACTGGCTATGCGATGTAGTGAATTTTATTCGCGTTTCTATAACTATTATTATATATATATTTTAATTTTAATAAGAGCGTTAATTATGGATACACATAATTTTAAAATATTAAAATACTTACTCGAACAAGACGAAATTGATGGTTTATGTAATTTTGATTATGAAGAGAATTGTCCCTCGTGCTGTGATATTTATAAATCGTATTTAGAACTTTATAAACAAATGATTTCAAACAAAGTAAGTACTTGAACAAAAATGCTGTAAACAAAAAATCTTATATTAAGATATTAAATTGATGGTGTTTATATAAAATTTTTATTAATTTTTATTCGTCAAATAATAATAAATAGTTAGCTTAAAATTTGAATCTAACATTTGTTGTTATTATTTCCTTAGATAATATGTTATTTATCTTTATTTTTAAAATATTGTAATATTTTTTAATAAGGTATTTCATTGAATAGTTTTTTACCAAATATAGGTAATATAAAATTAAAAATATATTTCATGATGGTTTTATAAATTAATCTTATTTACGCACATAATTTTAAATAAAAATATTGTAATGCATTGTTAATAGCTTTATAGTTAAATAGTTTCTTGGGACTTTGGTCTACTGTTAAAATATGCGATTTTATCAAGAACTCTTCCTTGTTTATTTAATTGCTTTCAATCTTATCAGCTGTAATAGATAAATGAATACACTGTATTATTTCCTATTTTTTAACTTAACAATTTTCATGTTTAACTGTATTATAAACTACATATTTATATTAAAATTATGAATAGTTAACTATTATAACATGTTCCTAATCCTATTATTATAACTTTTAACATTTAACAATTAAAATAAATTTGTAAATTTTATTTATTTTTTAATTATATTTAATGATGTTAATGTTTTGAAACGGATTAATTTGAAATTTAAACAAGATTCTAATATATTGCTAATAATGTACTATGCACTTGGCAGGTATCTGTAGGTTGAGCTCTTTTAATCCAAGGTCAAAACAGTTTTTTTGTTTGACACTATTAATAAAATATAATTAACAAATAACTAATCTTCCTAAGTAATTTGGGAAAATTCCAATTAGATTTATGTCTTACTGGATTATTATAAGAAAATCTAAAATACATATTTTTTACCCAATATTTGTATGATATAAGATTATTTATTATTTATGATTAATAATTTCTAATAAAAACTATATAATCAAATAAAATTATTCTTTTAAAAAGTCAACATTTGGAATCATTTTTGTGTTATACCTATATCTCTAGTCATGGGCGGATAGGCCATTTTTGGCCTACCGGAAAATTTWAAAAAGGGGCCTCCGCATGAAAAAAAATTTTATAATACATGATATTAAAGGGCCTCATTACCGAAATACGAAGGGGGCCCACCGGGAAATGCCCGGTAGCCTGGTAGACCCTATCCGCCCATGTCTCAAGTCACTTTTATATTATATATATATATACTATGTAGATTGTATATATTCTAAAAGAAATCAATTTACTGTTATTACTACAAAACATTAATCCTAAAATCATTTAAAAATTTTTAGTTTATAGACATTGGAGAAGACATGAATGTACCAGATGATTTCACCCAAGCTGAGATGATAACAGGGATGTGGTGGCGGCATCTTGTATCTGGTGGTGTAGCTGGCGCTGTCTCGAGAACTTTTACTGCACCTTTAGATAGGCTTAAAGTATTTTTACAAGTAAGGCAGTGTTAACTCATTTAATTGATACCAAAATTATCTATATTTTAATCTTAATTTCTACATTATATTTTTACATATCTTTATATTTTAATTGTAAACTAAACAATAAATCTTCTGTTCATTTGAATTGAAATGGATATGAAATATTACCAATAAATGTTTTTGAAATTATGATTATGATAATTATTAATTTACTATAAAAATAGCTTAAAATGTGTCTTAGGTATACGGAAATCAACATAGCAATATTACAACTTGTTTCAAAAGCATGTTAAAAGAAGGAGGCAAACGAGGCATGTGGCGTGGAAATGGTATTAATGTACTCAAGATAGCTCCAGAGTCCGCGTTTAAATTTATGGCTTATGAACAAGCTAAACGCCTTATTCGGGGTTCGAGAACTAAAGACTTAACAATATTTGAAAGATTTATGGCAGGATCACTTGCAGGAGGTTTTAGTCAATCATTAATTTATCCCTTAGAAGTATGCTACTTTTTTGTTTTTATAATTAGAATTTATATTTATGTTTTTTTTCCCTTTTAGGTTTTAAAAACAAGATTAGCCATTAGAAAAAGTAATCAATACAAGGGTATATTTGATTGTATTCAAAAAATGTATTACCGTGAAGGTATGCGCAGTTTTTACAGGGGTTATGTACCCAACCTTTTAGGTATACTTCCGTATGCTGGTATTGACCTTGCAGTTTATGAGGTAACTATCTTTAAGTTTACAAGGTGATCCATTTAATTGTTTACATTCATTATTTTTACATAATTTTTTACTATTGTAGAACAATATTTGTCTAACAATTTTTATCTTTATAATTTTTATTTTTTTGAATTACAACTTAAAACATTTTAAGGGCATTTTTCTTCATTGTGGCACCTTTTATTATTCTACTAAATAGACTCTGTTATGGTGGAGTTATATGTCCTATTAGTTTGGTTCTTCTTGTTTTTTATATCTTCAGCAAGCTTCTAGTTTAGCCAACTATTTGAAAAACTTCTTAATTCATTATGCATTCTGTCCTGTATATTTTATGCATCCATCTGTAACACCATCAATGTGCCACATTCAAAATACCTTTATTAAATTTTTCTTCACTTTTATAATATAATAATAATAATAAAAAAAAAACAATATTTAAATTGCAAAAATAATAATTATATTTAAAGTCGATGAGTGGATGAGTAGTGGTCAGTGAACCATTCTTTGGGAGTACTCCTATGAAAAATTTCTCCACTCAYCTAAACTTAAAATATTTTCAATTAATTAACTACTTATTCAATATTTGTTATCAAAACACTTTAAAAAAAACTTACAAAATGTTAACAATATAAAGTTGTAAAATATTGTTTTGTTTGACAAATAAATATGTTCAAAAGTTAAAACTTTTAAAATAATGACTGCAGGGACTTAAACATATCACCTGACACCTAGAACCTAATTTTGTTTAAATAAAATCTATTTCAGAAAATGTCTGAACTGTTTCTTTCTTTGACCCATGTGCTACAAAAAATTTGTGTTCAGAAGAATCAATTTTGTGTTGATTGCTTTGATATCAAAGACCTATCATTAAACAATAATGTGGAGTATTATATGTTTAAACATTGAATTTCTGTTATGATTTTTCAATTTGTATGCAAGTTATAGGTCTGTAAAATATTATACTTTAGAAATGCTCATATATCACAGACAAATTAAAATATTGTAAAAAAAAAAAAAATATAAATACTATTAATGTTCTAACTTTAAGATTTCACCATACAATATTTGTTCTTCTAAATGCAAAATTTTTCTAAATTGCATATGAGTCATTTTATAAAGAATAAACAAATAGTGTGCTGGCATCCTTTAAACTATTAAGTTTGAAATTCAAAATGTATAATTTGATAAAACTGCTTGATTTAAAAATGTATTTGAAAAAGTAAAATATTTCAATAAGGATTAAAATATCATATAATAATTTCTTGTGCTATATTTTTAAATATCATATAAAGCATATTTTATTTCAATATTATAATATTATTGCAAGTGTTTAAATACTTTAAATTTGTTAAATTTATTTATTTACTGATAATAAATTATCATCCTGGTTAGCAGTAGTTTGGCTAAAGAGAAAATTGAGAGGCAGCTACGTCTTCAATTTTTTTAAGAGGAAGGTAGGATCAAAAATGGATAAACATTTTTATTAACTAGTATTTAACATTTATTACAACAGGTACTTAAAAATATGATAGGAAATGTCTCTATTGGGTTTGGATGGAATATTAAACTTTCATATAAAATTTTGAACTTGTCAAGCCATTGATGGTCGATATACAATATTTTGTAGTCTAATGATTTTTTTAATTCATATTTCGACTAATAAAATTTTGGTAGTCAAATTATTCATAAAAACTGCATTATTTTATCAATCATATTCTGTTGTTGTTTTGTAGACATTAAAAAATAATTATATTGCTTCACATAACAATGGGGAAAAACCTGGAATGCCGTTATTGTTAGCGTGTGGTACTGTTTCTAGTACTTGTGGCCAAGTGTGTTCATACCCTTTAGCTCTTGTCCGTACTCGTCTACAGGCACCTCGTAAGTTATTACTTATAAATTGTTTACTATTTCATCGATAATTTTCATTGATATATTATTGTTTCAGATTTAGAAGGTCCTGATACAAGGACAATGATGTCAGTATTTAGAGAAATTTGGGTAAAAGAAGGTATGGTTGGCTTGTATAGAGGCATAACTCCAAATTTTATGAAAGTAGCACCTGCTGTTAGTATAAGTTATGTCGTTTATGAACGATGCCGTGAAGCACTTGGGGTTACTATGTCGTAACATAAGTTATTTTAACTTCTTTTTATTTATTTATCTCTTGACATTCAATATTTCTCCTTCATGTTTTTAAAATATTATCTTAAATTTTACAAACATTTATTAATACATTGGTGATTAAATTTTGGGAAGTATGTCTTAAAGAAAAGTGATCTGAAAGGGTAGAAATGATAAATTACAGACATGGTTACCATAGCCATAAGGATAGAAAAAATATTAAGTTTGATTATTAACTGTGTTGAGAACATGTCGAATGCTAACATAAATAATATTTATATTATAATTAATAATTATCCTAATATGTAATTATGTATTATCACAATGCTTGTTTTAAAAAAACTTCTTGATATTGTTACCAATCAAATTTAGGCTCAACATAATTTAATAGATTCTTGTAAACTTTTCTTAATTTTTTTGTCTTTTATATCAATCAATGCTTTTTCTACCAACATTCCAGATGCAACATAATTTTTCCAAGATTAAAATAAAAGTTTATTTTATGAAATCCAATTAAAGAGATTAAGTATTGTCTTGAAATGCTTTGACCTGCCTGTTATACATTTAGAATCAGTCATCATATTAAAAGAATACTCTCAAGGTTAAAACATTTATTGTAATTTTTAACCTAATTTTCTTTTTCAACAATTTAACTGATTTAATTCAACCCCTAAAAAAATTGAGATATTTTTTTATTTTTTTTTTTCAAAAAAATTGTTTAAGTTTGTTCCTAGTCATGTGTGACACTTGTTTTGTAAAATATTGTTGTTTGTAAAACTTTTTGTTCTCTTTGTTCAAAAATAAATGTTTTTCAATTTTGTAAACAAGATTTATCTTATTGGTTTTTTTCATGAATAATTTTTACTCTCCATTTTGATGAGTGTGTACATATTTTATTAATTGTAACTCAATATTACACACGGTGCTCAAATTAAACTAAATTATTAACCTATATTGAGCAATAAGTGTCAAAAAAAAAAATGTCTTCTATATATGTTTAAGCATATTTTTTCTAATWATTTATTTATTTTTGTGCTGTTGAAATAATTGAAGCATTAAAAATATTTCACATTTCACTATGTGAAAACTTTTTATCGTCTTAGCAAAAAATTATTATTTAATATACATTATACATAATTTATGTGTATCATTCCATTATCATATAAATTTATAATAATTATGAAGAAGTTTTTAAATAATTATTTTAAGTGTTATACAAATTATAGTATATTTATTATCTATCTATTTGATATTTCTTAGATTAYAAAGCATTATTTTTAATACTTATATTCATATAAAACGACTATATAGTATCTATTAGGTATAAGCTATATATTTAATTATATCTATAATAAATTTATAAATTAAGTGCTCTTTATATTTTAGTCAGTAAAAAAAATTACTTAACACATATTATGTTACAAATATGTATAGATAAGACTGATTATGGTTTATTTATTATTAAAGATTAATGTTTGCTAATATTAGAATAATATTATAACAAATTTATTTCATTTATAGGTAAACTATTTTGTATTATTATAACCAAACCCTGAATATTGACGCCTGTGACTTATAATTATATACAATTTATTTATACTATAGTTTACATTACCAAGTCTATTTTTAATCTTAAATGTTACATTAAACAGTATTTGCTCTGTGCCATTAATATTTCTATGGTGATTCATGTAAGTTTTAGTATGATATCTTAAACTCAATATATAATTATTAAAGAAAGTTGCTTTATAATTTAATTAATATGAT